GTATTAAAAGTGGTGCCGAAAATCAATTCATGTTAAATGTGGTCCTGTGAATTCCATAATAAGCTGTCAAAAAGACAAATAAAGCAAATTAACCATGAACACTCATTAAATACCACAATAACTAAACTGAGACTAGTGCACTTGGTCACTTCTTGAGATGACACAACTTTCTGGAAAGACAATAATACTTGATAAACTGGTAGGGAGTAAGAAAGGATGAACTCCACACTACATATGGCTTGACTCAACAAAAGAAGCAATGGGCACTGATGATGAATGTGGGTCTTGGAGGTCAGTTATCTGAGGTTCATCTCAAGTAAAGCTGATTTGACAAGTAACAACAATGCCAAGAAGAATAGATTGATAGTAAAATATTCAGTGTCAAATGTGTGCCATACATTGACACTGTGCATTTGTAGGGGAATTGTTATGCTGACCGTGAAATATTTTTGTTTATCTGAAGGTTCAGATAAAGGTAACCTTGAATAATGTTTGCTTATGTGCCCACATCTGAATAGAAAATGCTGTTTTGAAATTCCTATGTATTTATCTTTTTTTCATCCTATATCCCACTTTTTCCAATACTATTTAGGAATAATAATAATAATAATAATAATAATAATAATAATAATAATTGTCATCAAAGCCAAAATTGAAAAGATCCCAAATGTAGACTCTGCAAGGAAGCAGATGAAACAATAGATCACATCCTCAGCTGCTGCAAGAAGATTGCACAGACAGACTACAAGCAGAGGCATAACACCGTTGCTCAGATGATCCATTGGAACTTGTGCCACGAATACCATCTGCCTGTGACAAAGAACTGGTGGTATCACAAGCCTGAAAATGTTACAGAAAAATAAACATGTCAAGCTACTCTGGGACTTCTGAATTCAGACTGACAGCGTTTTGGACCACGATACTCCTGACCTCACGATCGTGTTAAATAACCAAGTATGGATTGTCGAAGTTGCAATTCCAGGCGACAGCAGAATTGAAGAGAAACAACTGGAAAAACTGACATGATATGAGGATTTAAAGATTAAACTGTAAAGACTCTGGCACAAGCCAGTCAAGGTGGTTCCAGTGGTGATTGGCACACTGGGTGCAGTGCCTAAAGATCTTGGCCTGCACTTAAACGCAATCTGCGCTGACAAAATTACCATCTGTCAGCTGCAGAAGGCCACCTTACTGGGATCTGCACATATTCTTCACCAATGCATCACATAGTCCTAGACACTTGAGAAGTGTCCAACTTGTGATCCAATACAACAACCAGCATAGTGATCTTCTTTGCTGTGTGCTTATCTTGTTGTGTTTCAAATAATAATAATAATAATAATAATAATAATAATAATAATAATAATAAATTAAAATTATTATTTAAAACCACATTGGGGTCGAGGGGAGAATAAATAAAAGCTGCTTGCCACATACAAACTTTATTACTGGACTGGGGAGACTGCAATGGCTACTAAACCATAACAGCTTAAGAACTAGCTGTTGCTAATGCAACGGATGAGTTAACCTCTTGATTATGTTTTTATTATTGTTGGCATGATCAAAAGCAAAATCTCTGTATACTGAAAGGTTGTGCTATACTGACAAAGATGACAGTAAAAATACTTTTCTCATATAAAAGCCAGCTAGCTCAGGTTCCCCAATAGGGTATTTTGTAGAACTGTGAAATAATTCACAAAGTAGTGAGTTAACAATATCTTTTATGTCCAAAAATAGCAGAAAATACAAGCGTTACTCATCAGCCTCACAGCTTATGGAGACAATTATTCTTGCTCAGTTGATATTTCTCTGCAGAATGCCCTTATATGAAACCCAAAATAATTGGTTGATACTAAAAATATTTTCCACTATCTTTGGGTGTGAATGATGCCATAAAACCAGGAATTTGTGAAATGTTGCACTCATGAACCCCTAATGACTTATCTTTTTTCATTCATGATATTTCTAAGATTATTTTATATGCCGGAGAAAGCTATTCTAAGTAGCCCCACCAAATTCTCCTCCTCCTCCTCTTCAATCTGAGACTGCAGTAATTTCCTTTCTTGGTCCTATATCTTCTACATCACCCTCTCTGTGAGACAGTTTTTGCTATCACGGAAAGACGTCAATTTAATGAAGAATACATACAACACCCAAAAATGCACATCTGAATTTAAAGATAAGTGCAAAGTTAGGTAAAAAACAAACAAACATGTGACATTGCCCAGATACATTGTTTCAGTCCGTTTTCATCATATGAGATCTATTAAGGACAGGGCTTCCAGCAAGAAATTACACATTCTTTGATATTTGAGATAGCATTAACATGAAAGCAGGAGAATCATACACAAGAGTGTAACGAGTTAATATAATTAACCCTCTACATTCATTGTGGTTAAGGGCACAGGACCCCCATGAAAGTGAAAAAAAGGCAAATAAAGATTTCTAGAGGAGATTTCTAGAGAATACATGTTGAGTCCAATCTATGAAGAATCAAATCCACACAATTCAAAACTGTAAATATGGGGGGACTACTGTCTTCTAAGAGCCTCATCACAAAGACCAGGTGAGGCATCCCACCTTGCCTGGTTTTGGTGAGAAAAGAGAGGGGCAGCAGAGTGAATCTTTCCCCCTGCTCACAGCTCACTCTTGGCGATGCTTCCCTCATTACACATAGGGAGCATCACCCTTCTGTAGAGGATCCGTTCTGGCTCAATTGGAGCCAGCACAACACGTTAATTCTCCTGTGTTGAGGGTGAAGGATCCAATTATGCTTCTACCCCAGTTGGGGGTGGAGCTTCTGCCAGAAGTCACACAATATCGTGTGATGGTCAGCAAGGGGTTCCCATCCCCAAGACAGGGTGGAAATGTCCTAGGATGCTGATTTAGGGAAGTGTGATGAGGTCGTTTATCTAATACTGCAGCAGCATGTTAGTGAGGCAGGGAGGATGAAGGCAATGTTCCCCTCTCCCAACAAGAAATCTGCCTGACCAAATGCAATATTTTTTCAGTCCCCAATTTCCTAACATTGCAGTATGCTAATATTTCAGTTACGCATTTGGAAATATGTTTTAGGCATGAAAATAAAAGGGCCAGGCATAATTAGCAAGGGATGCAAACACAGCAAATAAAACAAGCCTAGACATGAACGATTTTCAGTGACTCATTCCCTGAAATGTTAGAAATTTGCTAACTGAAAATTTCATAGGTGGGGGTGAGAAATTCTCATCTGCCAGAGCAATATCCTCATCCCCCTTAGTATATGGCTATGGAGCCCCATACCACAGTTTGCATGTTCTCGTAAAGATATAGTAAATCTTTCTTCTTCCATAAACGTAGGGAATTATGTGAGAGGTTTACTTCACATGCATACCTTAAGTAAAAAAGCCTCAAATAAAGACTTTTTATGCATTCAGTTCTCTATTTTCTCCTTGTTTCGTGAGTAGGATTTTATCAGCACTGACAGAGAAAGGGTAGTGGAAAAGGGCTAGAGCAGCAGTTCTCAAAGTGTGGTCCATGGAGCCCTTGAGGCTCCATGGATCATGCTAAGGGGCTCCGCGGTTTCGACGTCATCCTACCTCCCCTCCGCTCCCTCCAAGCTTTCCTTCCTCTTTGCTGCTCCTCCCCCTGCCTCCCTTGCCACCAAAAGCCTTTTTTCCTCACCTACCTCGCAGCCCAGATCCTTCTCTACTCACCTACCTTGCTTCCAAAAACCTATTTTCTCTCTCATTTCTCAGGGGGTGCTTTGTTTATGCTTTTCCTGCATGGCAGAAGGGGGTTGGACTGGATGGCCTCTGGGGTTGCTCCTATTGCTGATACATATACATTATATATTATGTAATATATAATACAAAAACATCATTGGGCATCCATGAGAAACTTTTGCTTCAAAAAGGACTCAGTAACTGCAAAACTTTGAGAGCCCCTGATTTTTAGTGCTAGCTGCAGCAGTTTGTTGGCACTAAGTAATATATTATTTAGTGCCTCCTGCAGAATTCTGAGGCTTGTAGTTTAGGAGAGGGGCTTTAAAACTGTTCATCTAGAGAAGCCCTGGGCCTTCCTAAACTACAAACCCCAGAACTCTGCAGGAGGGGAGTCACAGCATTTAAAGTGGATTGAAGTGGATAAATACTCAAGAGTGGTGAGTCTCTTAGCATCTATGTGAAAAAAATAGCTCCCACACAAATTTAGGGTCCATTAATGTAACTTCTTTAGTGGGCTTTACAAAAAACCCAGCAGTGACCAAATATTGACATGGTGGAAAAGTTGTCACCTATGCACTCTGCAACAGGTTTTCTCAGATGTAAGTCTCAATTGGCTGCTTCAATTTTGGAATGGGCTATGAACTCCTGGAATACTTTATAGAGCCCAAGAAAGAGTACACAATGTGATGATCTATAACTCTGTCAAACACACATGCATGACAGATAAAAGTGTTGCCACTTCCCATGGAGTTCAAACTACAAGCTCTCACATATGGTGTGAGGAAACAAGATCTGACAGATCAGTTAGTAGATGTTGTTATAAAGGCACATGCTCAAGAAAAATGCACAATTCTTCTTTTGCTTGTTGCCATTCTTCCATTATTTTATTTCAATGTAATAGATTTGCTTAAGTGATATAATACCCAGCAGAAAGATATGTATCAATCCAAGTGGGCTAATTTTTTTGTCTTTCGACAGTCCAAATTTTATTTAAAGATTGCTACTTTTATTCAAAAGTCTGTGTCTAATAAATGTTAAAGACATAACTTTGTAAAATTTCCCTGAGGGGCTGCCCTATTATTCCCAGCTGTAAAAGGAAATACATAAATTATTATTGAAGCACCCAGACTTCATGTCACATTATTGGGTTTTCCTGATTTAATACTCTGAGCCAGTGAAAACAAGTAAGTCTTCTTTATAGCTGTTTGTTCTGGGTAAATAATTATTTGACAAATGGCCACTGCAGTCAAATATATTTGTCATTTCCTTCCCCGTCTCAATGTGAGTTTTGTTTACCTGTTTGTTCAAAAAGATGTAGATGACTGGGTTGTAGACGGTGCTGCTCTTTGCAAGGACTGAAGGAATGATACTGGCAGAGGGAGTAACTAAGCCGGGTTTTCCAAATGTTGCAATCAGAGCCACAATCCCATAAGGTAGCCAGCAAAGCAGAAAGCAAATGATCATCACAACCACCATGATCAGGACTCGTTGCTCTCGTGTTTGTGCCATTCCTTGGGTTACTCCACTCACCTGAAACAAAGGAATCACATATATGTAGTGCTAAAACACAATGGAGGACTATATGTAAACAGAACTTGGAAGTTACTACAAGATCCCCCAATAGTAATGTAGCAACTTGCAGGTACTATATCTAACATTAGAATTACGTATACAGTAGTTAGTAACTACATCAAGAGGTGGAGCATAATGCTCTATTCAGGTGGTTCCATGTCCAACTCCAAATATGTGTACTTTTGGATGGGGTACAGATTGTTACTTTCTAGTCCTTTACATGTCATTCAGCCCCACACACCTCACAACTATCAAGTCCCAGAAGTGGCTGCTGGTGGTGGTGGGGAAGGGAAGGAACAGGAAGGCTTACAGGGTAATAAAGTACCAGTTTAGCACAGCTTAGGGACATGGAGGAAATGGTACTCGTTGATGGAGTCTACCCTGCCATTTCTTTCTCTGAGTTCCAGCATCTGAACTGCCTTCTTTTCTTCTTCTTCCCCTCTCACCCAATAAGATGCAACACTCATCTCTCCAAGAGCTTGACAGTTGTAAGGGCGAAATTTTTGGATATTGCACAGAGGGCTACAGAACAGCCCCTTGCACTATAAAAGAGGCACACTTATGTCTCTCCTTCACATTAATTGATTTCTAGGCCTACAACATCATAACCAGTGGCTTTTCAGAGCTCTATACTAAAACCACATTTTTAAAAAATTAGAAATCTGAAGAAAGAGAAGGGTCACACCATTGGAGTCTACTCCCAAGCTCAGGTGTTTACATTTAATCCTACACTTACAGAATTATGGTCACACCTTCAACAGAACACAAAGTAATCAGAGGTGTAATGATGAGTAGGAGCAGCCCCAATTCTAACTCACACATGCTCTCTGATAATGTGAAGAATTATTATGTCTCTAAGGAGAAAGACAGCAAATTGGACAATGGTAAATCATATATTCAGAGTATGAGATGAACACATAAGTGCTCTTCTCCACCATTTGTTATTTCCTATATAATTTTCCTACCATCAGAGAGACTTGATATATGAGACTAAGCAAATACCTATTATATTGCAGTTTACATATGGCAATTATAATCATTAAAAGCTCTAGCAAATATTTCTGCTCAGCTGAAGGTACAAATATATTTGATTGCTGGACCACTATACTCTCTCTTCATTTAAAAATAACATAAAATAAAAATCCAGCACCATTTCTGGCATTCTTTCCATCACAATTGCCAGAGATCTTTGAACTGGGGATTAGTTTAATATCTTTTATAAATTAAATACAACATTAATTTCCCTTCCACGAGCATAAAGGTCTTTCTGCTCCAGTTCTGTGAATAATCATTAACTCAATTAGTCTGCTTTTCACTATTTGGCAGGCCAGACTATAATTTGCAAATGCCATTATGTAGAAGTGATAGGAATTTGTGCTAAGTTTGTTTGAATACATTATTTAACACCCCATAAATGAATCACAGATAGCAACAAATCAGTTACCCAGCAGGACCAGAACACAATATTTGTCTGGTTAAGTGCCAAGTCATGTAATTACTTTCAGAGCTTAATTTCTATTGATAAATTTGAAAATGTACTGTTTGTTTAATGTCTAAGCAAAATACATGTCTTTGGATTGTGGATTACATTTCCCAGCATTCTTGACCACTGGCTCTATTGGTTAGAAGTTGCAGTCTGACATCTGGAAAACAATGTTTAGTTTCATGTCCATCTCACAAAATATATATGATACATTACATTAGAGCATAGTAGGAGAGCTTTTAGTCTTCAATATATTTTGGCTTAAAACTTCCATCAGCCTCCCCAATATGGCCAATGGCATATTACCACAAAGACATATTAAAACAAATTATGAAGGACAGAGAAGGTGGGTGTAGGAATATAAATTCCTGATTATTTCATCCTTGAAAGCAAGGACATGTAATTGCTGCAGTGTTCTTCCTGCACAGGAGACAACAAATATTACTCTACAATAGTCTTCCCATTTGGGAACAGCTCAGAGTGTTGCAGAGGAATCATTCTGTGTAAAAAAACACAAATTGCAGAAACCAATTTTGCACGTACTCACAAAAAAAGCCACGTGTTTCTTGAATTGAAAAATGCCACTTGGGGGCATGGATTGTTAAGAAAACATCATCATAATCAGCATCCTTTTCCAGTTTGGGCCTCAGGGTAGCTTGCTATAGTTATATATAGTACTCCATATAAACAAAAATAACAGATTGAAAAACCCAGCACATTGTACAAAGCCCATTACAGCAATGAATAAAACCATATTTGTTTTTCAGAAGGCATATAGAAGATTATATATGAAAGGTCAAAATTGCAGTATTTCAGAAATACTTAATCCTATTAGCTAACATGACATAAAATTTCATGGGCACATGGGTACATCATGCGCAAACTGTACACACAGCTTCTCCGGCCACTTCACTGCCAAAGACAGCTCTATTGATTTAGAAATGTTAAAGCAAATCTGAGGATGGAACACCCACAGTTAAAGTGGTATCAGACTGATATAACCATGTAACAGAGAAACACT